CAACTGGATACATGGGGTCATTTGTTTCATTTTAAATATTTGCTTTTATAAAGTTTAACTTTGTTTTATCATGTACTTTTTTCCTTTTAAGTTCCTCTTAGGGGTTATTTGAGAAATAATTGTCTGTGGCTCAAAGTCAGTGGTTTAATTTACTTCAAATTTCTCCCAAATCTCAACCCTCAGAGTTCTAGGCTGGAGGCCAGGGAGAGGGAGTGGCTGCTGGTTAGTTGAGGGTTTTTTGGGGGGGTGCTGAAGATGTCCTAAAATTAGATAGTGATGGTGTTTGCACTACTGTGGATATCCTAAAAACCACTGAATTGTATGCTTTAAACAGGTGAGTTAGTTATAGCTCAGGAAACCTGGAAAACGTGTTGTATGTAGGGGTCGTGTGCCATCTTGCATGCATTTTCAGGGGTTTATTGAGATTCCTGGACGTCACGTTAGGAATCCCTGTGTCTGCCTGTGTACCTCCCATTGCGGGCTTGCCTGGGCCACTGTGACCATGTGCTCTTCCCTGGTCCCAGGCTGGCTGGCGCCTCCCTGTCACTATCACCCCTGCACTCCCCCATACACGCCGTACCGACAGGGTACGGTGCAAACCTTTCTTCATGTGCTGACAGAAGCGGTCTCCAGTCGTGACATGGACCAAAGTCCCAGGACGCAGGTGATGGCCTCTGTGGCCCAGCCATCCTCCTTCCTGCCAACCCTGTGGACTTGTCCTGTCTCTTGTTCCAGTCTCTTTGGCTACTCCACAAGTTACCCCAGATCTTAGGACTTGGAAGGACAACAATTATTTTGCTCGTGAGTGCATTTTGGGTGGAACTTGGCAAGAACAGCTGCTCTCTGCCGTCCTCAATCTGGGGAGCTCAAAGGCTAGGGCTGCAGCCCTTGAAGCTCATTCTCTTGCTTTCTCTCTCTCCCTCATTCACTCTTTGGCATGGCTGGTGCTGGCCATCTCCTGGGACCTCCACCCGGGCTCTGCTGGGACACCCACCAAGGCCTCCTCATGAGACCTGGGCTTCCTCACAACATGGCCAGGTCCCAAGGGGGAGCTTCCTGGGAAAGCAGGTGGAAGCTGTATCTTTTTTATGACCTAAGTCTTGGAAATCACAGCATTGCTTCTGTGGACTGGAGTGGTCACAAGCCCACCTGTGATCAAAGGGAGAAGACACGGACACCACCTCCCAGTGCCGAGTGTCGAGGAAAAGGAAGATGTTGCTGGGCCCTCTTTTTATCTGGTCTGGAGGACGTGTTCAACACAGATTTGTGGAAATGTGTGATTGTTGAAAATGTTCCTGGCAGCTCTCTCAGCGTCAGAACTCTTTGTATTCCGTCCTACACAAACATGGATCTGATCACACTGCTTTCCAGGCAAGGAGCCCAGGTGGCTTGAGGGTATGCCCAGGACACAGCCTGGTGTGGAAGGGTCCAGCCTCTGCAGCCTGAACCATGCCGTCTTCTCCAGCCTGCCAGCTGGCTGCCTCCCACCCTTGCCTGTTCACAGTCACACCTGGATGTGAGAAGGGAAACAGACCGAGCAGTCCTGCCTTGGGTGATCCCTCCCTCCCTCCCACCCCTTGCGGATCTTGGTCTTTAGAATTGGCACCAGTGGAGAAGGATATTGTCTAAATCAAAGCAACAGATGGGATGAGCTGAGGGACATAGAATCCAAGGGTAGTGTTGGGGGAGCCTGGGGGAGGAGAGGAGACTGCACTTTGTGTGCTCCGTTGGTTTATAAAACCCTCAAATTTGGTAGAAATATTGCAGTTCCTGCCTTGTGAGTGGAATAACACCCTAAGTCCAAGTAGCAGAGGGCAGAGGGCAGAGGTTAGAGGTCATCTTGTATTTGCCATTAGCTGTTCACTTGCAAAATTTCCATTTTAAGTCTACATTGCCTGGAGCAGGCAACACACAACCTTTGATCCCACTTCTGCTTTCTGATCCCAGGACTCATTTGAGTCTCTTGTTTATCAACCGTTTTCAATCCCAAACCCCACGGGGCTTCCCAGGAGCCACCTAGAGGCTGCAGTGTTTTCCAGGACCTTGGCTGCTGTCTTGTCCTGGGGCTGCGCAAATGGGGAGGTTGGCTCATAACCTGTCATTGCAGGTGCTGGGCCCTGGAGGGTGCTGGGTCCCTGTCACATTGTCCCTGTGTCTCTGTCTGTGCAGAGGTGCTTGTCAAGTGCACATGTGGAACCAGCCATCCTTTTACAGCAGAGTGTACTCTGAAAACAGCTTCATCATGTAGCCTTCTGAAGGGTTTTGACCTGGGCCAGCTGTATTGCCACCGAAGCTTGCATACAGCCGAGTTTCTAGGAAAAGGGGAGCAGGATCTGTCTGGCTGCTTTCTATCGGCACAGCACGCTTGGGGCGGGCTCCATGCTGCCTTTCTCCTGAGAGTAAATGGAAACGTGGTAACTTTTAATTTTTGGCTCAATTTTTCTCCCATTCTCCCCATTCACTTTTTTATGATGTTGGAAGAGGTTAGGTTTGCAGAAAAATAGTTCAGAAAGTGGATTTTCTAATGCACAAAACCAAAATCTTGTAATCTTTCTGTTCTATTTTTTTTTAAAGAAATGCAGAAAGTTCTGAGAACACAGCTGTTGACCTGCGTTAAAACCAGTCTGTTTCTGTCTTTTTCCCCTTTCTGTTTCTGTCTCACTTTTTAACGTGTAGCTGCAGATAGCAAGGATGAAGAAGTCAAGGTCGCCCCCAGGCGGTCCTTCCTGGGTATGTACCCTGCGCGTGCACCGCCCGCCGCGCGTTCCTTTCGCCTCATTCCTGCAGCTGTGCTTCCTCCTGTCATTGCTTCCATCTGTGCATGTGTGTACGTCATCTTTACCAAGTGTGGCCGAGTCTACAGCAAACTAATCAACCTCTAGCTCTGCTGTTTTCAAGCATGAAGTAGTTCTTAGAAGCCTATCCATGTTCTTCTGTGTGTGGGGAGATGGGGGTGGGAAGGGGAAGAGGGAGGGAGACAGGAAGGGAGGAGAAAATTTTAGATGACAAATTTTGGACTTTGTTAAATTTATTCCAAAGTATTTTATCCTTTTTGATGCTATTGTGAATGGAAATGTTTTCTTAATTTCAGTTCTGCTTGTTCATTGCTACTTTATAGAAATGTAATTGATCATTGCATGTTGATCTTGCATCATGCAATTCTGCTGAACTGGTTTGTTCTAAGAGTTGTTTAGTAGATTCTCTATATATGATTCTGTCATTTGCAAATAGAGATGGTTTTAATTCTTCCTTACCAGTTTAGTTGCTTTTATTTCTTTTTATTGTTTAATTATCCTGGTTATAAGCAGTGAGAGTGGATGTACCTATCTTATTCTTCATTTAAGTGAGAAAGCATTCCATCTTTCACCACTAAGTATGATGTTAGTCAATGGATTTTCCATAGTTGCCCTTCATTAGGTTAAGGCAGTTCCCTTTTATTTGAGTTTGTTGGGTGTTTTTATAATAAGAGTTAGAGTTTGCCAAATGCTTTTCTGTGTCTGTTGAGATGATCATGTGGGTTTTGTTTTTTATTCTACTATGAGGATGTACTACCTTGATGAATTTTTGTGTGTTGAACCAACCTTGCATTCTTGGGATAAATTCATGTGGTCATGGTGTCTAACGCTTTTTATCTGTTGCTGGATTTTATTTGCTGGTATTGTATTGGGGATTTTTTGTATCTATATTCATAAAAGATAATGGTCTGTAGTTTTCTTGTGATGACTTTTTCTAGATTTAGTTCTAGGATAATACTGGCCTTACAAAATAAGTTAGGAAATGTTCCCCTCCTTTTCTATCTTTTTAGAGTTTGCAAAGGGTTGATACTAATTCCTCTTTAAATATTTTTAGAGTTATCCAGTGAAGCCATCTGGGCTTGGGCTTTTCTTTGTGGAAAGTTTTAAAATTACGAATTCGATCTCTTGTTATAAGTCTATTCAGACTTTTTGTTTCTTCGTAAGTCAGTTTTGGTAGTTTGTATTGGAATTTTTCCATTTCACCTAAGTTATCTAATTTGTTGACATATAATTTTTCTCAGTATTCCCTTAGAATCCTTTGTATTTTTGGAAAGTCATTAGTAATGGTTCCTTTTTTATTCCTGACTTAAGTAATTTGATCCCCTCCTTTCCTTTCTGTTTTTGGTCAGTCTAGCTAAAAATTTGTCAATTTTTTGTTCTTGTCAAATAACCAACTTTTTAAAAGGTGTTTCTTTTTCTTTTCTTTCTTTCTTCCTTTTTTTTTTTTTAACACAACACATACACATCGCCCATCAAAGAACCAATTTTTGGTTTTGTTGATTTTCTTTATTGCTTTTCTATTCTCTACTTTATTTCACTCTAATCTTTCTTTCCTTATGCTTGCTTTGGGTTTAATTTACCTTTTTCTTAAGGTGGAGGTTAGATCATTGATTTTTTTTCTTTCTTCCTTTCTAATGTAGTTATTGACAGCCATAATTTCTCTCTAAGTGGGTGCTTTACCTGCGTCCTATACTTGGTGTGTGGTGTTTTCGTTTTCAGGCACCTTAAAGTATTTTAAAATATACTCCAAGGTTTCTTCTTTGACCCTTTTATTATTTAGGAATGTGCTAACTTCCACATATTTGTGAATATCCCAAAATGTCTTCTGTTACTGATTTCAAATTTATTTCCATTATAGTTGTAAAATATACTCTGTATTATTCCAGTACTTTTACTTATTTTTTTAAAATTTTTGGAGACAGAGTCTTGCTCTGTTGGCTGTGGTGTGACTTTGGCTCACTGCAACCTACGCCTCCTGAGTTCAAGCAATTCCCGTGCCTCAGCCTCCCGAGTAGCTGGGACTACAGGTGCGTGCCACTGCACCTGGCCAATTTTTTGTATTTTTTATAGAGACAGCGTTTCACCATGTTGACCAGGCTGGTCTCGAACTCCTGAGC